CCCCCCCCCTTCTTTTGAAGATCTTTTCTCCTCTCAGAGTATGTCCGCACGAAGCGCCTCATTTTTTTGGTGTTTATATAGCCAGATTGGGTCAAATTATGAACTTTCCGGCTAAATTATTAAGAAGAATAAAAAGTCCCGCTTATGCCAAATTTTTTAATCTTGAACAAAATAAGGGGTTTTTTCTCTGCGGTTTAACTATTTAATATTTCTCGGTATTCATGAAATCTAGACCCATTATTAGAAAATAAAGGGATTACGCTATGCCCATACAAGTGTCTGTCTAATAACAGCTAGGCAACAGGCACGGAAATATTTCCTGTTTAGGAGCAGATTGTTAAAGAAAGAAGCTTCTGCAAGTTCCTCAGTTATATCTGCTCCTTCAGGTAAAGCTCTAACCAATTCAGATTTTTAAATAGATTCGGAAACATTTTTAAATCCAATGGAGTAGAGTCTCCACAACTCCGATCCTCTAATTCTTCTATCGTCGCTTGCTGATGGTGTAAACCTTTGATATTTCAAACTTAGGTTAATTAATCTAACAGAATGTACAGTTCGAAATATAGGTAAACAACTTTGTTTTTCAATGGATTAGAAAATCAGAGTTTGTGGCAAAGACCTAATTTCTTATTACCATATTTATTAATAAAGCTGAGACAATTATTGAAATTACTCTGAAATTGAGCTTTGATATTTCACACCTTTTCCAACTCTGAGTGTTAGAAATGGGCACTGGCCTGGAATCGGAAGATTTGATTTTTTAAGATCCTGTTCCATACCTAAAGCAAAAGTTGATTAAAAACTATAAGTAACGTCAGCATGACAAGGATTATAATTTCCATTATTGAATAATTTCCGAAAATAAAACTTGTAACAGGAGATATTGCAAACTTCAACCTTTTTATAAATTATAAATTATAAATTGGCCAAATCCCGGGTTGGAACTAAAAGTGCTTGTAATTTTCCTAAAAACAGAATTATATCTAAAACAGCAAAAATATCATTTGTCAATTACCCTTCGAATTATTTCGCAATCAGCAAAACAAAAATTATTTTTCTTTTAGCCAAACCAAACCTGTATGTTTCTTTTTCAAAAAACCAAATCATTGCTTTTTAGTGAGGTAAAACATAATTATTCTCAATCGGCCAAAACCACAGTCATATCTTAATTGATTGAAGGAGGTGGGGGGGAAGGCAAACCACAGCTTTCTTAGCCACACACAAATAGCTTCCGGCTAAATGTCTTAATTTTAAATGCCTAATTGCATCCGTTAATGACTAATAACTCCATTTTGGCAACGTCACACGACGATAAATGATACAAAATAGATTTTTATTACTTACATACCAGAATTTGATCGCACTGAGATGAATTTAACCCTTAAATCCGATTTCAGATAATTTTAAAGCAATTCCTACACAAAACTGCATTGTTTCTTGCAAAGATTGAACTTATCCTCAATTCCGAAAACATATATAAAGAAGATTAAAATTTTGCCACATGCTATTTGGGTGTGGCTAAGTAAGCGCTACGAGTGAGCGTTTTGCCGCAAGTATATGTTTGTCAGTAAATTGTGGATAGGAGGCGCTAAGGGTGTGGCTTGCCTCCCCCCCCCCCTCTACTCTAATTTAGATATGACTGTGGTTTTTGCCGATTGAGAATTTAATTATGTTTTACCCGACAAAAAAGCAATGATTTGTTTTTTTGAAAGAAGTATCTCTTAATCGGTCCAAACAATCATGTCTTTGTCAGTTAAAATAATCAGCTCTTAATAATCTCAGACAAAATTAATTTTTAATTAGCAATGAGCAATGAAAAATCATTTTATCGCATCAAAAGAATAAAATTAAAAAATATTTTTCACTTTAAACAACATTTTATTTTAAGCAATTAACCATAATACTTCTAACATTTTATAATATTAATAATCTATTATTAAATTAACATTTTCCAGACTTTCGACATAAAATCTCTCTGACTCATTCCCACTCAGACCTTCTCAGCTTAGATCAAAACAATGGTGTTAATGAGGGTAACAAAAGTGGTTTTTTAACAATAACAATCCTTCTTCAACTATCGGGTGCATTTCTGGTTTTTAGGAAACTTATCCAGGCCTTTGAATATTGCATATATTCAAATATTGTATTGGGCTTCAACATATTGCTCTATTCTAAGGCTTACTAATTGTCGGTGATAGGGAATTTTGGAGGGTTTTAAGATGATTGCAGTATAGATAGATAAGATTATGAACAATTAACAGTGTCCGAATTTAATGAATTTAAGCCGCGTCTCAAATCCCCCAAAAACTGGTTTTAATTGAGCACCGGCTTAAAAATTGAATACAATTTTAAGTGGAACCAATTTTGATTTGAGCCGCGTCTTAAATTTAAGCCGTGGATCAAATTCTTTAAATTCGGCCTCAGGAAGGACAAATTTAAAATTTTCAGAATCGATAGACAAGAGTTTGAACATTATATTAAAAGACAATTTATTTTTTTTTAAGAATGGATGAAAGACAAGATGAAAGATATTATTGGAGAGACAATATGATATTTCCAGCATTTATAAACTATTTTAGGACATTAAACTGAAAAGCCAATATTCTGGTTTTTAAAATGGAGGATGAACAAAAGCCAAGATTTTTTTTCCGACATTGATCGCCAAGATCTCTGGAATATATTGACCTGGAAAGACAAAATTTTGATTTCCGGCATGCGTAGACTAGATGTTTGAAAATTGAACAGTAACAACATTTTTTTTTTGAAAATGGATAATAGACAAATAATAAAAGGATTTATTTTTTTCCTGTCTGAATGGCCAATATTTTCGAACACTGAACTGGAAGAACAATTTTTAGATTTCCGGCATACAATGACAATACAAGATATGGAACATAATTATCCTGGGTCACCAACACTAACCAGACTCAGGGCTATTGCATGTGAGTACTAACACAGTCCAGGGGTCTATATTTTTCAGAGTCGCCATTAAATATTTTTAAAATAAGATATGCAAGAGAGTGGCCCCCCCCCCCCTAATATAAAATAAATCAGAATATAAAATTTGGTTTGTAAATCCTTGGATGAAGCTAGGGTTAACTAGATTTTTTGTCATAATAGTTAGATTAATTCCTCGGGATAGTTCAGTCCGGGGTTAAAACCTGGCAGGCAGTCTTAGGATTTAACTTTTTTTGATGCGGATCCGTATCTTGATTCAGGTCATGAACATTTAAGATTAATTGATTTTCTTAACAAAAGAAGAATTTTCAAATTATTTTATTTTTTTGTTATTTTTATGCTAAAACTTGATGAACCATTCAGGGAGAAGGACATTTTTAATAATCTCTTTTTCAATAGTTCAGATTTGGCTAAAAAGTTGGCTCTTGGAGCCGAATCTGTGAATCCTAATATTTTTGCGGATCCAACACTGGGAACTAAAATGAAAGGATCCAAACACTTGTCCTTTAACTGAAAAGTTTTAACCCCGAGAAATGCAAAATAACTAGTTAAATGAAAAATATATACCCCCGGGTAAACAAAGTTGCATTTTGCACAGTAACATTTTTTTAGTTAACTAATTTAACTAACCCAATGTTTTAATGAAATATATCTGTTTTTACCAAAAATATTTTGCATGCTTCAATATTTGCATGGGTAACATTTAGAGTTTGCTTGAAAGAATGAAAATCCTTGGTAAGTAACACTTTTTATTGATTTAGATTGAATTTTGGAAAACAGAACTGTAATTTAATTTTAAGTTTATTACTTTCTTTTCAATGTTCAAAGCATTAACATACTTTAAGAGCTAGAATTAATGATAGATGCTAAACCAAAATATATTAATATTTACAGGGTGGCCAATAAGTATGGATTTTTTATGTTTACAAACAAATTGTACTGATTGCACTGAATGTATGGATTATGTCTCAAACTGTGGGAATTTTCAGGATTTTTATTCGGAAAACATTATTTTTTTCTTTCGATTTTGACTCATGAAAAGCTAATTTTTGCATCAAAATTTTATAAAAAAAAAGTTTCGTTAAAATAAAGTTTAACTTCATTCCGAGTCATATTAGGTTACTTACTTGGGTATACTTGGTGGTGAACTCCAAGAGGTCCAGGCAGGACCATGGTAGGAGGGTTGTGAGGTCCAGGTAGGACCATGGTAGGAGGGTTGTGAGGTCCAGGTAGGACCATGGTAGGAGGGTTGTGAGGTCCAGGTAGGACCATGGTAGGAGGGTTGTGAGGTCCAGGTAGGACCATGGTAGGAGGGTTGTGAGGTCCAGGTAGGACCATGGTAGGAGGGTTGTGAGGTCCAGGTAGGACCATGGTAGGAGGGTTGTGAGGTCCAGGGAGGACCATGGTAGCGAGGGTTGAGAGGTCCACGTAGGACCATGGTAGGATGGTTGTGAGGTCCAGGTAGGACCATGGTAGGAGGGTTGTGAGGTCCAGTGACTGCTTCACATCGGGGGAGGGGTGACACAATTTAAATCAGATGGATCATTGATAAAATCTATCAAATATATGAGAGTGGGAGGGGGGGGATGGTTATGGCAGGGGAGGAGCATAAGTTTTATGGGTTGAATTGAAAAAAGGTGATGAAAATATCTGTTTCTTTTTGTAACATCTCATGAACGTCATATAACGTCAAAAATATAATTTATGACTTGATCAACAAATTACATTTGATAACTTTATTTAAGGTAAGCAACATTTTTGTATTCTTAAGGTTCCCTGGAGAAAATTCTAAGAAAAACATGTTAGTTGTTATGAAAATTGACCCTGAACATTTACTAAAAAATGAAATTAATTTCAGAGATAGAAATACAAATAGAAGATTATATAAATGTTTGCAACTTCTAAATTTTTAATAAATAATTTTTTTAATTTGATGTTAAATTAACGTCATTCAACATTACAAAAATACAATTTTTGACAGAGAATAAATGACATCAAAATAAAGTAACATGACTGCATAACAAATTTATTCTTTTAAAGTTTTAGTTTTGCTATTTTTTTCTTTTTCAAACAGATCACTAGAAGTATAAAGAGGCAATACTGAATGTACGGATGTTTTTTTAAATGTACGAATTGTACGGATTTGTCTAAAAAAATTACAGCTTGTACGGATTGTTATGTACGGATTGAACGGCTTTTTTTCGTAAATGTATTGATTGTACGAATTTTTTCTGAAAATGTACGGATTTTTCTCAAAAAGTTTTGGCCACCCTGTTTAAGTGGACGTTATGTTAAGCACTCAATAACGGGGTCGGCACCTTTTTAAAGCAAATGCGGCACGTTTCAGAATATTTGTTATGTTATGTGATATTTTTCTTGGTTTTTCCAGCTCTTTTATTTTTTTACTTCCTTTAATTTGTTCTTGAATTTATATGAATTTATATTGTCTATATCTGATTTAATTATAATTTTTGCATATTTGTATATTTAGTGCCCGCAGACGGTGTTAAAGGGAAAACCTGGGGCCCCAGCACACATTCTAACAAACAACGACCAAATATTGTTGACAGTCAAAACAGGTAACAATCTATTCATTCTTTGATCTTTTTGTCAAGATTTTCGCAGATTTGTGCCTTTTTTTCCCAAATTAATATTCAAGTATGTTTGATGTGATGTGATGTGATGTGATGTGATGTGATGTGATGTGATGTGATGTGATGTGATGTGATGTGATGTGATGTGATGTGATGTGATGTGATGTGATGTGATGTGATGTGATGTGATGTGATGTGATGTGATGTGATGTGATGTGATGTGATGTGATGTGATGTGATGTGATGTGATGTGATGTGATGTGATGTGATGTGATGTGATGTGATGTGATGTGATGTGATGTGATGTGATGTGATGTGATGTGATGTGATGTGATGTGATGTGATGTGATGTGATGTGATGTGATGTGATGTGATGTGATGTGATGTGATGTGNGACAGATGTAAACTTTATATCCCTACAGACAGATGTAAACTTTATATCCCTACAAATGTAAACTTTATATCCTTAGACATTTAAACTTTATATCAACACCTATAGAGGGTGTATCCCTTCACTAACAATCCCTACAGAGTACAGATGTAAACTTTTTATCCCTACACAGTTAAACTTTATATCCCTACACTTTAGACGGTATATCCCTACATTAATAATCCCTACAGAGTACAGATGTAAACTTTATATCCCTACACATATAGACGGTATATACCTAAACTAATGATCCCTACAGAGTACAGATATAAACTGTATAATAATGTTTATATCCCTACACTTATAGACGGTATATGCCTAAACTAAAAAAATTGATATCTATATAGTTATAAGCTTTATATCCCTCCACGTATAAACTTTATATACCTACTCTTAAAAATTTAATATCCCATCACTTTTAAACTTTATAACCCTCCACATATAAACTTTATATCCCTACACTATCAAACTTTTTCCATAATTTAATTTTAAAATATTTCATCATTCTTTGTCCAATTCCTGGCGGTTTAATTTGATGGCTTGTGACGGGTTAAAAGAAATTTTATTAGGAGTTTGATCGACTTGGCCACCAGGATTTGCATGATCGTCATGACTTGCATGACCGGCATTCTGATCACGTGGATTCACATGACTGGGGGCATGTCGGGCATGATTTACCAGAACAACCTTGTCCTCCCTACACTATGGCTAGGACAGCTAGATATTACCAGGTGAAATTAAATTAAAATATATGAAACCAAAAATCGATCTTGTTTCGTTTTTTTAATAGAGTTTTAAAATGATTTGTTAACTTTTTTGGAAAGTGGACACATCAAAGAAATCGGTAAAGGGTCTAAAAGCTTAAGTTTAAGTGATCATTTATGCAAATTGCAAAGATGGCAATGCCCGATTTACAATGGTACCCCTAAAAGCTATATTTCAATGGTACCGTTGTGAATCGGGCATTGTCATCTTTGCATGTAAACAATGACGCTTACAGCCCCGTTAAGAGAAAATTTAAACAAAGTTCCCTAATTTTTCTCTGACTTAGGTGGTTAAATCATTTTATGTTGCCCCTTAACACCATTTTGTGTGTTTAAATCGACCTTAATAAATACTTCAAGATCAGAGGTTTGAATTTTTAACTAGAATTACCACACACACACACACACAAAACAGAAAGATCATCAGTTAAACCGTTATAATGCCTCTTGGATTGGTATAGTCTCCTCATAATTAAGGTAAAGTATATATGTATTGGTAATCCTTTCAATAAACTAATCTGTATTTGTTGTCTGATGGATTATTTTAATTCGGTCTGGTATCTCTGAAGATTGAAAATGAATCGCAAAAATATAGAACAGTTTTTTACGGACAAGTTTCCATTTTTTATATCAAACAAAGGCGATTGTTGAATTCTTAAACTTTAAATGTTCACATAGATATTATGATAATGTTCAATAAGTCACACAAATATATCCTTAAAAAATTCTAGAACCAGTAAGTAATCACTTAATAGTTGTGAAGGCGACATTTTAATAATTTTGTCATCGTATTCTTAAATGTTGAATTTGCTGTAATTATTAATTTTTTTTCTAGGAACAGAGAGACCTTGACCCCGGGTACCAGTATCACGACAGAACAGGAGGCCATGATCGTACAGGAGGTCACGATCGAATAGGAGGTCATGACCGAATTGGTGGTCACGATCGGTCAACTTCTCATGACCGATCTGTCGGTCCGGTAAACTATACAGAGCTCCCTGGTCCCGGATACAGTAACCCTAGGTATATAGCACAATTTGGAGCAATATTTTGTTTTTCTGCATCTTTAGTTTTCTTACTTAACACTTATTTTGGTTTTATTCTCAAAAAGAAAATTATTTTGATTATTGTAATTGTTATTTAATTTAGCTATGACCGTGTAACAAATCGAGGCCCCGGTGGAGGTCATCGCAGAACACCCTCTGGCTCCTCAGGGGCGTATTATGATCAGAGTGGAGGGAGCTCAGGGGAGTACTCAGAACGTCCTCCTCCCCCCGCCCCAAGGTAAACATCTAAGATGTTGTGTTGAATAATAGAACGGACAGGAAACCCATACTCAAGGTGTTAAAAGAGTTTAAAGTTTTCATTTCGAGAACATTTGGTGGGAATGTGTCTTCTATTTTTCATATTTTTATCATTCGCAAACCTAACTATCAGTTTCTTCGTGTTAATAGCTCTGTTCCGCAGCGACTGAGTTCGAATTCAAAAGCGGTAAATTTTAAAATTTAGGATTTTCTTAAATGCCGGTGATATTGAAAATAAAATCGACGACTGAAGGAGACGGAAGTTGCGCTGGGAGTTTAATACAGGGTTGACCTTAGTACTCTATTTTTGATCAATCTTGTTATTTTTACATTTATACAATGGCTAACATCGTTAATGTTAAATAGCAAGAGTAAACACTAAACACAAAGAAAATTTGGTTTTGATACTTAGCACTAATTTATTAGTTAAATCTAATGATTATACTCGTTGACGGCCACTGGTATAATACTAATTTCTGAAAAGAGTTTTCTAAGCAGTTAATGAATAAAATTTGAATTTCTCAGAATAAATTTATTCATAAGTTTGGAAACTTTAAAATTATTGAAGTATCTTGAAATAGTGTGTGTGGGTGTTTAAGATTATTTTTATAAACATTCTTTATATCTTTATTTCAACCGTTTTAACCCTCTCCTATTAATATTTCTAGTATATTAAGAGTATTTCAACCTAATTTCAAATTACCCACCAGCGTGGCACGTCCGAATCTCAACCTTGGGTATCCTTTTAAACTTTTCTAACAGAGTATGAATTAGAAATCCAGGTTTAAAACGTTTACCGGTTTGGAAACTGATAATTTTCAACTGTGATTTCTCTACAATAGTGAGTTGGCCATTTCTAATTTAGTTGAGTCCTAATTTAAAAATAATCTCTGAAATTATCAGAATTAAATACTTTTTAAGCTAGAAAACTGATTTTAACTTCAATATTCATGAACAGATAAAGGTTTCAATGGCACCGTTTTGAATCTTTAAAAGTTAACGATTTTTTTACTAATTGTATTAAATATAAATTTCTTTTTCCTTAATAAAAAATACGAACCATGGCAAAATGTATAACGTTCAACATGTTAAGGATTTACAAAAATGTTAGGCAAATGATAGGGCATCCAGACACACAGTTAGGCAGACAAACAGAGATATCTGCTTTATATAATATATAGAATAAAGAAACATATTTACTAAAGTATTGTTTATTTAGACGCTTATCTCGGCAGACCTCGTATGGTACTGAAGTAGAGCGACCTCAGACCTTGGAGCTACCCCTTACACCCAGGCATCCTCTCAGGTAGGGATTTGAATTGGGATATGGGATGGGATGGGATGTGACACTATTTATCTTTATCCTTGAAATTAACCTTTGTATTTAGTATAAGAATGAAAACATAAATTGTAGGTGGAGTAAATCTGCACCCTCACTAGAGAAACGCCCACTCCTCACCCCGCCGTCTTTGTCAGAAGGTAACGCCCTAAACACATGGATATTAATTAGATCTATAATTCACTGCTTTTAAAAATCTCACAATCACTGGATAACAAATAACTATACATATTATCTTAAAGAAATATTGGAATTTAAAGAATTTGAGCGGAGGTTTAAATTTAAGCCGCGGTTTAAATATGGTTGGTTTCACTTAAAATTGTATCAAATGTTTCAAGATTTAAGCCGGCGCTTAATTTAAACCGGTGTTTTGGCGGATTTAAACCGCGGCTCAAGTTCTTTAAATTCCATCTCTGTATGATTTATTAATTTTGTATTTCCTCTTAAATACATTTTCTTCTAGAGACATAAAAAGGGAATAAATTGTTATAAAATGAATAGTAGAGTGTTGACGTTTGGTGGATTTCCATTTAAAAGTTATCATATGCTTTGTCTAATCAGAATTTATGAGATATCAATTATTTTCTTCTTAAAAAACTTAATAATTTAGAACTATGGGGGTTATGTAAAGTGACTAGCGCATTTCTGCTACATAAACAATGGGCGAAATTAACACTTGTTTTTGAAGCCAGAAAAACGACAATAGTTACATCTAATAAAGGTTTAGATGTAAAGTCCTTGTAAACCGCGACGTTTTAAAATGAAGGTCTTAAAAATTACTCCCTTTAAAGATGTATGAATATATGTCAATAATAATCTGAGCCCGCGATTTGAAAGCTTCGGCTCGAGTCTTAATTCCTAGACCCCACTTATGAATCAGCTGACGACAGCTTGTGTCACGTGATCGACAGCTGCCAGCTCTTAGACTCAACTTATGAAGATAAAACCGACCTTGTTTGGCCTTAGTGGAGTGTTAGCCTCAGTGTTGAATCTTCTTTGAATCAATTCCCGGAATCCACCAATTTTCACCTTGAAAATCTGCCAAAAACATTATAAAACCGGTTTAATAAAACAAACTCCTTGGAAAATTTAGTTGGAACTTAAATCCCTAGGCTTAAGTCTTAAATTAGTCTCAATGACAACTTAGACCTGAGTCTTATATCTTAAAATCTTTTAAATCGCAGGCTCTGAAGTTATGGTATTACTTTTTTTCAAGCTCACGAGGATTATTCGTTTTACTTTCATCCATCTTACTCCGAGTATACACTGACCTCTCGGCCCTCTAGTTATTCTTGTACCCTACCCAACTCCACGCATTCAAATTGTTCAAAATCTAAACATTTCCTTTCATCACCGCGCTCATTTATTAGTCGCACTAATAGATTATTCAACAGTAAGTACAGCTTGGATTGTTTTTTAAAGATTCTGTTCAAGAATCTTTTTTAGATTTATTTTGTTTAGTTGTTTCTTGTTATGTATTCTGTTAGGTTTCAGGGGTTTATTCTAGGCAAATTTGCATAGAAGAAACACGGCTTAAAAAGTGCAAAATCAAAAAAATATGTCATAATTTCTGCAATTAAAAAAAATTCGGCAATAATTGCAAATTTTCTCACGACGAAACCACTGTGTATGTTGCATGTTTTGCTATTTTTCTCTGTTTAAGTTTAAGAAGCTTTCGGGAAAAATTAATCTTTTCATACTTAAAAATCAACTAAATTTCCCGCCCAGTTCTGCGCATACATACATAACATGTTTTCTACCTTAAACTGGATGAAATTTTGCTACAAAACTTAAATGTTTTGAACCCAACGGATCCGGATCCACGAAACTAAGATGTCGCGGATATCCAATGGATCCGGATCCACGGAACTAAAATGTTGTGGATATGCAATTAATCCGAATCCACGGAACTTATAAGTAGCGGATCCAATGAATCCGGATCCACGGAACTTAATTGGGGCAAATCCACGAAACTAAAATGTAGTGGATCTAATGAATCCGGATCCACGGAACTAAAATGTTGCTAAACCATTGATTTGTATCCACGGAACTTAAATGTAACTGATCCATTCGATCCGGATTCACGGAACTTAAATGTATCGGATCCAATGGATCCGGATGCACGCTACTTAAATTTAGGGGATCCAATAAATCTGTATCTACGGAACTAACATGTTTTGGATCCGGATCCATGGTACTTAAATGTAGGGACTCCAATGGATCCGGATGCGGATTCTATGTACTTGCTGTAAAACACGTAAATCTGTATTCTGTATCTGTACTAGTTGGTGTAGTTAGTTCCTCATATCCCTTGTTTAATTTTTCTTTTTCTCTTAAATTGAGGCCTACGTCTTAGTTTATAGAGGGGAGGAGTGTGCTAATTGGTCGAGTGGTTATCGACAAAGCATCAAGATTTTATACAATAAATAAAAAAGTGGGGAATGTGCATTGTCTGGGGGCTGAGGCAAGGTAGAAAAAGAAATGCTAGTAAATATTTTTAACGTTTTTTTCGGAAGAAATACACAACTTTCAAAGATTATTTATGGATACTTTAGGTCGGGTATTGCAACTAATAGTTCCTTGAGACAAAATTATTGGCGCTTCTTAACTGGTATTTCGTTCAGATAATGAGAATGTGGACGTTTACAGGACTACTCCTCTTCCAACGTTATATGCGGGCACTTCAGACCAACCACAGGGGAAAATGGGTAAACAGATAGATTAATATAAAAACAGTAAACAGAAAACCTTAACAGATATATAAACATTTCAACAGGTACATAAGCAGATAAACAGATTTATAAACAGATATATATACAGATAGATATACAGATAGATATGTAGATAGATATGCGGATAGATATGCAGATACATATGCAGATACATATACAGATACATATACAGATACATATACAGATACATATACAGATACATATACAGATAGATATACAGATAGATATACAGATAGATATACAGATAGATATACAGATACATATACAGATAGATATACAGATAGATATACAGATATATATGCAGATAGATATGCGGATAGATACGCAGATACATATGCAGATACATATACAGATACATATACAGATACATATACAGATAGATATACAGATAGATAGATAGATATACAGATAGATATACAGATACATATACATATAGATATACAGATAAACATATCAACCAATCAACTAATGAAAAAATTAACAAATAATCAGTTAAACAGCTAAGTAAAGAGATACACAGATAAGTTGATTAACAGATACACAGATAAACAGATTAACAGCTAAGTAAACAAATACACAGATTAACAGCTAAGTAAACTAATACACAGATAAGTAGATAAACAGAAGGATGAAAAGAAAGGTTCTCTTGAAATTAAGCCTACAGTCCCTTTAAACATATGTTGATTATTGTACAGGTGCTATACAGATGCTGTTGTACAATATGTCCTCTATGCTTGCTAGTGTCGCTGCTGGTTATGATGTCAGGGATATAATATTCTAAATTATTGCTTTAATTTTTTATAATCATATTCTAGTACGGTTCCCGTTGTAGTAATTTCAGTTTTAAGATCCACATAAGTTCTTAAATATCTTAATTATCTCTTTTAAATCTTCAAATTCATAGATAAATCAGCAGTTTTAGTAAGAAAAGAACAGTATCAAACAAATTGTTATTGCAGGCAATCTTTAATTTTATTATTATTATTTTTGTTGAAGTCTTCATTGTAAGAATATGTTGTATCTGTAGGTTAAGTAATGTGACTCCTATCCACCCTAAACTAGGACCAGGAAGGGAGGAAGGGGGTAGGATATCTCCCCCTCCCCCTCGCCTCTACCCACACAATACTTATCATGGGCACACCCCTCACCACCGCACCCCACTACCCGGTCTCTCACCTGATCTTAAACCCCTGAGATTCACAGATTCCCCCCAGCACGCCCCTGGTTACAAGCACGGCAGGTACACACAATTAGGGTTGTTAATTTTTTGGATTATTTTTGAAGAAAAAAAACTAAAATGAAACTTTTAAGAATTTTAGAAGTTAAGGTTTGCTTCTATTAAAATTTGTAACTATGAAAAAAAGTTATAGATTGTTTTTGGATCGTTTTTGGATCGCTTAAATAGATCGTTTTTGGATTGTTTTTGGATCGTTTTTGGATCGTCTTTTGCCAACTTTTTGTTAGGATTTATTATAATACAAGAAAAGCCAATGAATAACAATTTTGAAAACACTCTGCAAAATTGGACCCTGAAAGAAAGTACAGGCAAAACTATTCAAAATTGAACCAAAGCTAAGGAATGCAAATCACTAGTCACTACACACAATACACACCACACATCACTTTCTACCCAGGGGTATATTTTCAAGAAATTATTCTTAAATGCTAAAATTTGTAATTGAGTTAGTTTTACCCAAAGATTCCTAAAAATCTCTCGCACATCTGGGATTTTTTTTTCAGGGACACTCTAGCCTCCCTCCCCCCCCTCCTCCGAGAAAAAAAAATATTTTAGATGCTCGGGGGGGGGGGGTCGGGGGAGCTAATACTAATACTTCCTAAAAAATGTATCGCACATCTTTTTCAATTTTTTTCCTTGCAAAGTATACTTTAAAGATTTCTGAAGAGATGAAAATTTTGAAATCTGTGCAAGCCTTGTGTTAGTTTAATAAAAATCTTACCATTATACTTGAAGGAAATCCTCTTTTATAAAGGATTAGGAATTTTTTCCTCCTTCACTCTTGGAACTCACAGCTAATGGAATATTTTCCGGGAGGTGGTGGGGTAGGAGAGTCACAAATGTGTAAACATTGTTTTTTAATCATGTGAATTTTCGAAAATACACATTACACTGTACATAATACACATGCACTAAAAAAATCAGCAACACAAATTTTTATTTTTAAATTAGTATACAAAAAATCTTAATTATCTTGAGATCTATGATCATAGATCAACGATTGTCAGCGATTGAAAATGACATGTATCAATTATTTGAGTGAAGAACTGATCTAATCTACTTATTGTAGGAAGGTATCAATCGACTCGAGTGAAGAGGGTGTGGTCGTGTATCCCCTCCCTCCTCCTGTAGCAACTGGACCAGGTTTAGACCGTCCTCTTCATGCACCTCATCAGGTAACTTTATATCCCTCCACGTGCAAACTTTATATTCCTACACGAATATATACTTTATATCCTTATATGTATAAACTTTATATCCTTATATGTATAAACTTTATATCCCTACAGACAGATGTAAACTTTATATCCCTACAGACAGATGTAAACTTTATATCCCTACAAATGTAAACTTTATATCCTTAGACATTTAAACTTTATATCAACACCTATTTATGGGATGGGATGGGATGGGATGGGATGGGATGGGATGGGATTTAGTTAGAGTTTTTATTTGACTTTTGATATGATTTTCGGTTACTTATATTTAGATCCTCGCTAAAGAAGTCCAACTACTCGTATGCTCCTGGAACAGGAGCAGGGCGTGTCTCCCCCTGGTGGGGTGGAAGCGGGGGTGGGACCCCAACCAATGACCGGCCTACCCCGGACTCAAGCAGTGACGAAGTCGGTTTTCCACTCTCTAAAGCAGACTCAGGCTTTGTTAGCTCAGGCAGCAGATTAGTTAGGTATATGATTAATTAAAGGGACTGTCAATGTAATTGTTATTTCAAGTGACCTTCCATTTAAAAAGAAAAGTGACAAGTCCGATTTACAACAGTACGGGGTCCCCTAGACAGATATGTAGTAAAAGGGGATATGACTAATTTATATCATTTATTCATATTCAGACAAAGCTATAAAGATCACTGTTGTGAATCAGTCATGCCACTCTGTAAAAGGAGAGTCACTTAAAGTTACATCTACAGTATTTTTTAAGTTAAAAAAGTTAAAATTCATATGTTTACTTAAATAATATCTTTGTATCATTTAAATGATGAAATGTGGTGAAGGGTTGTAATTATATCAAATTTTACTTTATTATTGAATTAAAGATCCTGTCACAGCATTGTTTCAGATGATATAGGGTGCAGACTACAGATGATGTTAAAATATTTAGAAAAATTGAATTATGTAAATATTCATATTTTATTTAGTGATTTGTTTAGGTTCTCCCCCTCCCCCTACAGCCAGGGTAAGGAGAAGTATACAGACTGGAGTCCTACCGGACACCCGGAACCTTCTATTAGGAACACAATAAATGAAAAAATTATCAACTTTTCGATTGATTTATGTAAAATAATACAGAAAAAGGTTTTTCTTTGAGCTGCGAGTTCTAATGATTTTTGTTTATAGAATATTTTACCATTTGAATGGCAATGCACAGATTTAAGACTAAATAATGTAAATTTTAATTACAATTTAGAAGAGACTAACTTTATTAAGTCAGAAACTTTGAAGGTTTATTTATATTTTTTTAAGTACCATTTCCCTTCCTCCATTTTTACCATTTTTTTGGCCATTTTTGTCTACAGAAATTGTCAAGTGTTTCTTTTAGCTTATCACCTTGGATTGAAATTATTTACCCTGTAAAATTGGCAATCTTTTATTTCATTTTATTTTGCAAAGTCTCCTTTTAGGATCATTGTCTTTATTGTTTTTGCGATTTTTTTAGTTTTTTCCAAACATAGTTTGATTGTTAGTGGGTTTAGAAGGAATCAGTATCCCCTGTTTACACCAACCCACCTACAAGATGATGCAGAATGGGAGTAGATACATGATGTTTAATGTAAAATTAATCTATTTATGGGCACGCTTGAGAACAGATGAAACTGTCCTTTTTAGCCAGGGTTTCTTACCACAAGGATTCTCCAAACCCTTTAAACCTTGCTTATGGTCTTGAGCTTACTTGAACCTTGCATACAATATTGCCATCTGAGTCTTTGGAAAGTTGATCTAATCAACACTGGCCCTGTTGTACCAGGTCAGGGCAGTACACTGGTGGACAAAGAACTCCCCATCTTCTTGTTCATTCCCAGCACTACAAGAGGACAAGGATTTGGAGGTTTGAACCAAGAGCAAGAACTTTTATTTGTTAAGGTCCAGGCATTGAATCCAACTCCAGGTCTAACTACGTATATACGTATATACTGTTCCTGAGTGTTGGGTTGCATGCCTTGGAATCCCTATTGGTGGAATACCAAGTGAAGCCACGACAGGGTATCTGGGTGATTGAGCCAGCCCACCACTTCCTGTATCTGGAAGTTGAATTAAACCAAGATCAGATAAATTTTTTTGATATCCACATCCAACGTCTCATTGTAGAATTGAACTGCCAATAGGATTTTTGTTTTCTGTTCACTGCTATTCTGTATCAGCCAATGTGAGTCAAGGATTCTGCATCTGCCAACAGGAATCCAGGATAATGCATCAGCCAACAGGAATCCTGGATTCTGTATCAGCCAACAGGAATCCAGGACAATGCATCAGCCAGCAGGAATCCAGGATAATTCATCAGCCAACAGGAATCTAGGATTCTGCATCTGCCAACAGAAATCCAGGATTTTGCATCAGCCAACAGGATCCAGGATTCTGCATCAGCCAATAGGAATCCAGGATTCTGCATCAGCCAACAGGAATCTAGAATTCTGCATCAGCCAACAGGAATCCAGGATTCTGCATCAGCCAACAGGAATCCAGGATTCTGGATCAGCCAACAGGAATCTAGAATTCTGCATCAGCCAACAGTAACCCAGGATTATGCATCAGCCAAAAGAAGACCTAAGTTCATCTAACTTTTCAACTATCTAATAGAAGCTTAGGATACTGCATCAGCCAATAGAAGAACTGAATTCACCATCCAATAGAAGCTTGGGATTCTGCCCCATCCTGTAGTATCCATGGATTCTTAATCTGTCATTAGAATCCCAGATTCTCGAGATTTTGTAAAAATATAATATTATTTACAAACTTTACTATCTACACTCTCCAGCCTATGGAAAAGAGCCTTCAAGGATTGAAAACCCAAGAAGATTAATTTTTTCTAAAACTAAGTCTGGCCAAAACTTGATTCTTGGCCATAGCTTTACTTGGGCCAAATTAGATGTTGACTGTGTTTTACGCGAGTTTAAGCTTTTAAAAATCAGCTTAGGAGTCTCCACAATCCAATAGAAGTTTATAGTTATTGCTCTAGCCTAAAGGAACCCAGAATTCTCAACCATCCAATTATGTCTTCGGATTTTACCCGCCCATAGGAGCAATGGATTCTGTTTTTGCCAATAGGAGCCATTTATTCACCACCATCTAATAGAAGCTATGGATTTTGCATCATCCAATAGGAGCTATTGATTCTGCACCAGCCAATAGGCGCTATGGATTTTGCACCAACCAATGAATGTTTTGAATTCTTTACCAACAAGAATCATGGAATCTTCACCATCCAATGGGAGCCTTTGATTTTTTTCCAGCCAATAGAAGCCATGGATTCTGCACCAGCCAATAGGAGACATGTATTTCCACTATCCTAAAGGAGCCATGTATTTTGCACCAGCCAATGAAAGCCATGGAGGCCCTACCAACAATACCATCCAATGGGAGCCATTGATTCTTTTCTATTCAACATGAGCCATAGATTTTGCATCTGCCAGGGGCAAGGAGTTCAGAGCCGGCGATTTAAAAAATTCAAGAAAATACGGCTCGGGTCTAAGCTGTTGTTGAGCCTTATATACGGCTCGGGCTTTCGGATTTAAGTTGCATCTAATTTTCAACAGAGTTTAGTTCATAAAACCGGTTTAATTTTGTATTTGGCGGATTTTCATAGTTGGAATTGGCGCATTCCGGGTTTTGATGAGAAGAAGACCCAACATTGAGCCTTATTCTTCACTAAAACCAACCAAGGTCGGTTTTATTTTCATTGGGCCTAACTCCTTAAGTCGAGCCTAAGATCTCGCAGCTGTCAATCACGTGACACAAGCTGTCGTCAGAGTTGGGTCTAAGATTGGGTCTTAAAGCTGCATTTAAGGAATTAAGACTCGAGCCGAAGCTTTTAAATCGCGGACTCAGGAGTCTTCAAAATCTTATAAGAGCCATTTTTTCTCCACCGGCCATCAGTGGATTCTTTATCTACCAATAAGAGATTTAATCCTACAAATGTTAGCTCCATGAATATTGGAACACGATAAAAACTTTTGGTTTTGTCATTAATAAGGATTATGCATTCTTATCCAGCATAATTCAGATAACATGAGCCTCACATCTGGCTAAACCATCATAGACGACAATTATCATAACAAAGACAAAAAGACTTCAGACTAGGCTTGTTTAGTACCGCCGAATCTATGACAATTTATCAACATGTTTAATGACTTAAAAAAATAATTCTTTATCTTGCTACACTTAACTAATTACCTTTGAATTGATTTTTAATGCTCAGAATCATGAATTATAGGAATTGACTTGCACACCTCCGCAACTCAAATTCCACTGGAGTATAATTTTAACTATCACTATTTTCTTTTGTCAATTCTGAAAATCAGAATTATTTTAAGAAGAAATAGCTAGAAAGATCTATTGATATATTCAGATATGATAAACAGTTTGGGATTGTGATCAAATATTGGAAAAATAAATCCCATTTCCCTCTGTCCTTTCCTGTTCGTTATATACCAGTTTTTATTTCTATTCATATCAATTATTTTATTGTGTACTTGCCGCTATAGTTATATACAATACATCCGAATAATGTGGTAAAAATGACTATTTGTAATTTAGTTCAACGCATGCATTTAAACTGTGAAATGTCTCATTAAACTTATTTACCCGTCTGTTCTTAAACCTAATGCCACAAAACCTTAAAATTGTACCAGTTATTGATTTATTTATCCCTTAGATGCCATCTTATGAAAAAGCGCATTTATGCCGAAATTTGTCAACTATTAACATTCCAACTCTTGCTGCATAATGTCATCATATTGTTACTTTTTAATTTGTACACCACAGCTAGTTAACTTAATCGAATAAAATTTAAACATTCAGATAAGTTAATTTTTTTCTTAGATTCGCTGATTTATTAATGCAAATGTCGTATGATTAGTATTTTCTAAAAATAACTAAATGGTTTCGATAAATGGTGTTAATTGGGGAGATCACCTCACAGTCCCTGTTATCCCGGCTTCATTGCCAATCGGCTTTTAAACTTTTATTTGAAATTCGTTTATGGTGTTGGACCAAACCCCTGTAGGGTGATGAAAGTAGATGTTAGTTCCACATTTTATTGAAAATATATTTCGGTCTGGGTTGTTATTGAGATAGTTTCTGTCATGAAGATTAAAAACAATTCATCTGATAACATCTGCGGAAATGTACAGCGTATATATTGTAAATGCTAAACAGGGCGCTTCGTGACCCCTTTTTATAGTTTTTAGTGTTTTCATGGCGCCATTTTTTTTGCCGTAACGGTAAAATTCAAATTTTCGCCGATATTTTTAAAACAATAAATGTCGACATTTTTCAAGAACGGCTAGTCCTATTAACCCTATTCCTGCTGGGGGGGGGGTCAATTTGACCCCCCCTGTATTTTTTTTACATAACTCAAAAAGTATTGGTCTGAGGCTCTTGAAATTTTCTGACTTTTCCTACATACCCAAAGCCCTCCCTTTAGGCCTAAAACCGGGCTTTAATACTAACTGCCTGAGTCCTCAGGCACACTGCCTGAATTACTGCTTTTGCCTGTAACAAACTAAATCTTTGTTTTGACCCACTTTCACTTGTCAGATTTTGATAAGATTTTTTTGGAAAGCCTATGACATAAGGAAACGGATTGCACAAGTTTTGCGAGAAAAAAATTGCAAATTTTTTGCCAACAACCTGTCAAAGGAAATTTGCACATTTTTAGTTTTTCTTGATTAAAAATCAGGTTATTTAAAATTTTGCAAAAATTTTTGCATATTTGAAATGGCATGATCAAGGGCTTTTCAAAAATGTATAATTTTTCATTTTTTGGACAAATTTTTACTGTATAACTGGATTTTGCGATAAAAATTTAATTTTTGCAAATTTGCAAATTTTTTTGCAGATTCTAAAAGTAGAGCACAAGAGCTTTCTATTGATGTATCATTTGTCATATTTGGACATAAAACATGGGATTTAGAGAGGGGGGGGTCAAATTGACCCCCCCCAGCATATCCTGGTTTTCAAGTACCCCAGCAGGGATAGGGTTAATCCTGAACCTTTCCTGGGGATCATAGGAGCTGTCATATAAAATTTGAACCCGATCGGGTAAGCCGTTGGTTTTAATGGAACAAACAGACACACGAGCAATATGAATATTTTAGTTTTATCCATATCTGTTAGTCCTTGAGAGAATTTTCAAATAAATAGTTTTTCAATATTGGGGTCAAATATCTTCAATATGTTGGCATTCTTGTCTAAATATGTTCCTATATTTAAGAACATTATCCTTGTCAAATTTTATTGAATTCATCCTATCCCTTGAGAGCTGTGAATGTGATTATTTCCACTTTTTTGAAAATCTATCATTTTGTTTTGTTAGCGATGAAGAAAGAACGAACATGAAACGGTCGTTCAAAAAAACTGAGAAGTCTTCTTTTAGTTTTAGTTCGTCGTTCTGTTATCAAATGGAGGAAACATTTTAAACGACTCTTTTTGCCGATGTCCGGTAAATAATTCTGAACTTTTGATGTTCGACATTGGTTTTTCGGTGAAAGGCAGGCGGCCGTAAGCCACAGCATTTCCCCCTCCATGGCCATATATTAGCTTGTTTGTCTTCTGGCAGCCACAACCGTTCGGTCTTCCATGCCACAATAATCCCGCAATTATTACGTTTTCGAATGGCTAATTTAGTGCAACGTTTATCGTTGTTTCGTTTTTAAAAGTTCAAAGTGATAAGTTCGTTGTGACCCGCAATCCTATTTGTGACTACAAGTGACTACAAGTAGTACACTTCCTTAAACTTTAAAATTGTTAAAACCCGCTTAATTGTCCACTTTTAGTATGTTTTGTATTTAGGAATTATTTTCTCATTTCGACTTAACAATAAACAAGCTCCCTCCGGTCCTCATAAACCTAGAGAGCTCTGAGGAAAATAAAGTTTTCATAGTTAATTCCATAAAATTTTGTATCAACTTATTATCAAAGGAAAACTGGGTTCGATCACACGAAAAAAAAACCTGATATTTACGGTGATAACCAGAAAACAATGGTAAAGGAAGGAAGACGCCATTATAAAAATACTTATTATATGTTGTTACAATTCAAATAGTTTTACAGTTCTTAAATCAGTAATTATAAGTGAAATGGATCTGTTTACACTGCACGATGGATGTGTCTCATGCGCGCTCATTGGACTTTTAAAGTTATAATTTGATTATAAAAGTCGTCATCCTATTCCAGAGTTTTCTGGTCATTACTGTATTAAAAATGTTAAGAGAAAGATTTAAAAATGGCTTTCTTATCAATTTATGATTGATTGAAACCAACGAGCTGTATTGAAATGTATACTGATGTAATAAATTCAGGGGATGAAGCTTATTTTACTATCCTTATCATATATGTTTTGCTTATCTAGTTTACTATCTTTACTACCTATGTATTGCTTATCTAGTTTACTATGTTATATTTGACTTTGACCGGCCAGTCTGGTCAACCTATATTTACCTGTGTAAATAAATTAGTATAGCATCAAAAGTCGTTTCGAACGGATTTGTAGAGCCAGGGTTTTGGCTAGAGAGATAGAGTCTTGCAGACTAATTATTAGAGTCAGAGTCAAGTATAGGGAGATTGATCAGGACCTAGATCGTTACACTGATGCACTGTCAAACATTATTTTTCCATGTTTTTCTGAAGTACAGGTTGTTCCACAAACTATGACAGCTGATTAATAGTTTAAAACGGCTTCTTCAATACTTTGTCAAGTTGTTTGATACCAAAGAGAATAATAAAAGTTACTCTAATTCTTACAAAATAAACTGCAAAAAGTCTTTCATATCTAATACAGTCTCTGAAGAAGTCATTCAAAACAAAGCATTTCAAATCTCCTGTAATTTTGAAAGCTCTAAATTGAGGTGCAATTTTGTGATTATAAATTTAAGGATTCAACTTGTAAAAGTGGTTTACGAAAAAATGCGGGAAAATATTTCAAAGGTCAAAGACGACCTTCAAGTCGTCTCTTAACGGTAATATGTATAATATATGCTGGGGCGAAAACGGCATGAATTTGTGTCTGTACCAAAAGAGTGTGTGTAAAGTTTACCGAACCGAAGGTGTGTATTGTAGGTATATACAGTACATATGAATCTCGGTATTTGTACAGTCTAGGAGAGTACATTTGTTTATTGTTAAAACACTATAAGCCAATTATTTTCATGGAAAGAATATAATTTGATTAAAGTTTACAATAAACTAGTCATTATTCGAGCTTAATTATAGTTGACAACATTGTTCTGCAATTTCCTTGACTGTAGTCATGTTGTGTGTCTGTACCAAAAGAGTGTGTGTAAAGTTTACCGAACTTGTATGCAAAGCAGTGCGACTGGCTTTCTCATGCCAAACCAGAGTCATTTCCTTTCCCTTTATTCCTGTTCCCAGAATATATGTATAATTAATGATTAAAACATCCTGAAAAATATTCCTGCAGAGCCGAAATGAGATTGCTTGCTATGTATGGTTTCACGGTATATACAGAGAGTGGTCAGCATATATATCAATACATTGTCGGTTCCTAAAATGGTAATATAATACAATTTTGTTGACCATAAACCTATCTCCTAATCCCAACCTCGAATCATGTCGTCTTTACCAGCCCAAATCCAAAGCTAACAATTTCTCCGACTCTATAACCTCTCTACCCAGACAAAGGAAAATCGAAACAGTGAAACCTTTCACTAAGTGAAAGATCAAATTCATAAATAACTTTGTAATCAAAAGTTAATTCCACTTTAAATCTCGAGTTTTTGCTCAACTTAAAAAAATTGCAAATTTCAACCGGCCAAAAACTTCGCCCGATCGGTTTTGCCGTTTAAACGTTTATTTGACACAGACAAGCCAAGTACATATTGTATATACATACACATCTATTGAGAAATATAGAGTACTAAAAATATGATTTATGATTTTCTAGCATGGCGAGACTTGCGTTTTGTATTAAATGAGGCGTAGTATTGTTAAGTTTAACACGAATGATGAAATTGTAGGATATCGGATGGTGGTTCCACCCTTCCTTACCCTCCCCCTTCAATTTTCCAGAAATAAAAATGAAGGCCTAATTTCTAGACAGGTTTGCTGATAACGCTTTTTCTTTGCAAAGTCCTCAATGAAGGTTTTAAATGTTTTTCCTCGATGTTCAATTTAACAATAGTAAATAGAAAATAGAAACATTGGATTAAAAATGTTTTAATTCAACTTCGAAGGAATGTTAATTGAGGAAATGCAAGGGTTTTGAGTACAAAACAAATTAGCAGTAGCTTAGTACCATTCTGCATGATTTTTGGCAACAGGAAAATGAATACAGTGCAAACCAGAAAACTATGGAATAGGAAGACGACATTCAAGCAATACTAAAGTGCATATATGATGTTGTTACAAAGTAAATAGTTTTACTGTATACAGTAACAAGTAACAACTTATTAAATGACTTATTCAGTGGTCTGTTTACACTGCACAATTTCCATGTCACGTTCATTTGACTACATTTAATTTAATCTGATGTTATACATTTTAACACATGGATCCAGACTGCTATAAAAAGTCGATCAATTTTCCAGACTTTGTCCTTTGATTATACATCACCATCCTACTTTCCCTTTCATGTTATATTTCAAACTTTACAGTATTTACTTAACCTTAGCTTTAGTTTTAAAGAAGCAATTGGCAAAATTCTCATATATTTGTGCTTGAGAGCTTAGAAGCTTTTGATGACAGATCACAGTGTAAAGTTTTGTTTTATATTTTTCAACCAACGTGAGCAGAGAAATATATTGGAAAGAATTATATATAGCTTAGTAAACACTCAGCAGCAAAAACTGAACAAAGAAGGAAACCAGGAAATGTTATAAATGTAGATATATAAACAGAGGCGTATATAGGGGGTACTGGGGTTAAAAATTCCCCCTAGAATCCTGGGGGTAATACCCCCCCACACCTAGAATCTTGGGGGTAATTGCCCCCTGTAGAACTTTGTGGACATAAATATTCCCGTTTAGAAACTTAATCTCCATTCTCCATGTCCATGATTACCATAAAGAGGAAAATAATAAACTAATTTTTGGCGCTTCGCGCAGATAATTTTACTCAATCAACTCTAACAAAGTAATTTAGATAAATTTTACGAGAAAAAAACGATTTTAATGCAGTACTTGCACTATATGACAAATTATGATTAAAGCTCTTCGGGGAGGGGNTGCAAATTAAAATGTTTAAAGGTCAAGTTTAATAAGAATTAAATTTTAAAAAGTAAGAAATTTTTTCTCTTTTAAATTAGTGAAATAGCATGTATACGTACATATATATAATATTTGCACATATGATTGAAATAAATCCAGTTTTTACAGAAAAATATCAATTTATGGAGGACATCCTTTAGGGTATAAATTAAGAAAGGTGAAAGCTGAAAGGGGGTACTGGAAACCTTTTATTTGGGTTTGTTAATCCCATAAATGATTGGGAAATTGAAATGAAACCCAGCTAAAACTCATAATTTGATATACATCATGAATGGGGTTGTACATGGTTTAAGGGGAGGCAACAAATTTCTAAGGGGGGGGGGGGTAAAAATCGCCACGCTACGCGCACAAAACGTTAAAATTTACCCATCCCCCCCCCCCCCCTAGAAAGTCATTATATATGCCCCTGGATATAAAAAATGGTTCAAGGCTGCAGTACGCTTTACTATGTTTAAAATATGCTAAATATGTTAAAAATAGGTCAACCAAAAAGTTATCAATATAGAAAATATAATTATAATACTTTTCTCAACCTCAATAAAATATCCGCATTTCGGGATAAAAAATGTGTAAAAAAAAGAACCAACACATTTACAAATTTATCTTAGTAAAATTTTCTTAAACAACATTCCTGACAAGGGGAAAACAAATATGAATTATCATCCTTACAATTTTATTTATGACTATGTAAACATAATATATTTACAAATAACAAAACAATTGTGATGTTTTATTCTATAATTGAGATTCTTTAACAATCGAGAGCTTCTGTTCTTCAATATAAGTAGATACACTTATTTTTCACATTTAAAGGGACTGTAAGCATAATTTCAAATGACATTCCAGTAATTATCCCCGATTTACAACCGCACCCTGAAAAGTGTGTCTGATCAAGTATGAATTAATTGATATCTATGTTTATAATTTTGAAAAATAATCTTTTTCAGTTGTGGTTTCTCTACAAAAGTGAATTGCGCATTTCTTCTGCAAGAAAATTGTAGGATTTATCAGAATTAACAATCAGATAAAGGTTTCAAGAGCACAGCTGTGAATCGGGTATTACCATCTTTGCAAAGAGCGTCACTTGAAATTTCACTTACAGTCCCTTTAAGGATGAATATTAACGTAACTTAAGCGACCTTAACCAGAGATTATCTGCATGTAAGAGACTGTAGACGTTATTTCAAGTACCCCTTCATTTGTAGAGTAGCATGTACGATTCCCATCAGTGTATCCATATTTATAAGATGTACAAAGATGAATATATCGTTGTTATTCTGACTTAAAATTATATAACTTCTCTTGATTTCCTTCCGTTTCTCTGTGCTGCAGAAAGAGTCAACCAGGGAACCGTAGTTTAAAATCAATTTCAAAATAGAAAATAAGGATAACTTCTACTTCAGAAAAAAAAATCACAACTCTATAAATGGACGATCACTTAAATTTACATGTACAGTCCATTTAATGTTGAAAACTCCTTAATTTGGATAAATGAAATGCAAGGTTACTTAAAATCACGAACAAATTAAATATAAATAAACTGATTATTAATATTTGAAATTGATATTTGGATTACAATAAATATTTAGATCCCGACCCGTCACCTTAACAGATATCGAAGATTAATAATTAACATTAATATATATTATATATTAGGGTTAAAAACAATCTTCTAAAGCTTTAGAATGGATTATATATTGTTCTAAAATATTAGGGTTTAAGCATAACTAAATATTAAACGTACTTGAAAAATCACATATTTATTAAAAAAGAGTGATTTACATGCAAGCTATAAGGAAATCATTGTCGTGTTTAAGTTCTTTAATCAATGGCTGTAGCTAAATAAGGATTTTTTAATTTGCCATGAGTTAATCTTAATATTGCGCTTATAATATTATCAGAGATTTAACAGATTTAAGTAACAAATTAATATGCAACCCCTACAGTGACGTTTCATAATCATAAGAAAGAATGAAGACACCAATCATTCATCTGCTTTCTGGTTTTCCCTGCTTTTAGAACAAAATTTAATTAATAAAATAAATATGCCCGTAAGTGTTACAAAAGCGCTATGTCTTGCAATTACACAGCATTACCAATAATTAAATAGGAGATGTAAGTTAAGCTGTGCTATATTTCGATCTGGAATTTATATATATTTATATATATATATATATATATATAGTTATATTTCGATCTGGAATTTTGAATTCGGTCCAATTCTCTGTCAGTGTGAAATTTTCTATTCTTATTAAATTTTAGATTGTTTTTAGTTCTATACTGGTCCTGAAACCTTCAAAAATTTGATTAGTGGCAGTTTTGAAACAAATCAGCAAAGTTGTTGCATTAGAAACTTATTTCAAAGAAAGAGTTTCTGTGGTGTACACATAGCGCTGGGTGCCGGATATTAGAAGGAGAGATCGTAAATGGTAATTAACAAATTGAAGCTTTCGGTGCACACAACAAAGAAATTGTGGGTTTTTATTGTGGAGATGAGTGAACAATAGTAATATTTTTGCACCCAAAGAACTTGTTCTAAAAATGTTTAAATCTAATCTATATATGTCTTTTTCTTTATAATTAACTTCTGACCAGCCATTTATCAAGTACACTTGTACTGAGGCTGTTGTACTGTTTAGTTTGTTCCGCTACCGCTAGGGCGCAGCAGGGGTGTTCTGTCTCCTGGTCACAGTGCAGGTAGGTAAGGCGCCAACATTGGCTGAGGATTGTTGTGGTCACGTGGGGGCCGCCATTGTAGTGATAAACAGGAACAGATACTACATCCTAAAATACAATTATTATCATGTTCATGATGCTTCAAATATTTCAAATATATGAATGTGTTTATATATATATAAACATAAGAATAATGTTAACATATATAGTACGTACACGTGACAGTTCTAAAGGATTATTGTTTGGTTGAAATTTGGAAGACTGGATTTAAAATCTCTCTAAACTCATATATTATTAATTTTCTCATTTAGCTGGTAAATATTAAGTTTGAGAAAATTGTTTTATGTTCACCAAAGCATTAAATTTTATCAACAATAAGTTTTAGTAAATTAAAAATGTTGGTTTTCATCCAAATAAACAACATATCATATTTCATACCAAGAAAACCACTTGATTAAAAATTGAAAAAATTATATTTTATAGTTTATATTTGATGCCGAGAATTAATGTTTGAAAATAATTTTGTGCTCATCATTGAGGATCTTAAAGCTGCCATTTATTTATGGAAATTACAAAAAATTAATTATTTAGCGCATGTCATGTACAAAACTATTATAAATTTCGACATTGTATTCGGAGCAAAATTGTTTAACATATTCAACTCAATTAAATGCACCCTAGGAATATGTAAAAATACATACTTGTACAATTCAAAATAATACTATTATCAATTAAACTTTAGTTGAAAATGCAGTATTTCATTTTAATGTTTGTCGATGAAATTGGCCAAATACTCTATTCATATATACTAAAATTGTCTTTTTTTTCTATTAGAGAGAAGTATTAAGTAATAATTGGCCAAATACTCTATACATATATACTAAAATTGTCTTTTTTTTCTATTAGAGAGAAGTATTAAGTAATAATTGGCCAATACTCTATTCATATATACTAAAATTGTCTTTTTTTCTTTTAGAGAGAAGTATTAAGTAATAATTAGCCAATACTCTATTCATATATACTAAAATTGTCTTTTTTTCTTTTAGAGAGAAGTATTAAGTAATAATTGGCCAAATACTCTATACATATATACTAAAATTGTCTTTTTTTCTTTTAGAGAGAAGTATTAAGTAATAATTGGCCAAATACACTATTCATATATACTAAAATTGTCTTTTTTTTTCTATTAGAGAGAAGTATTAAGTAATAATTTATACTATACACTGTAAATAAAGATTCAAGATTTGAGTAATTCATGCATTTTTGAATTTACGGTGTAAGAAGATAAAGGTACATACAAAATAATTTCTACAGCATTTTAGATTTAAACATTTTAGTTACCTTAGACAATGCATAGTTGTAATGAATAGAATTATCATGCTTCCTCGATGTAAAGGATGTATCACCACTAAAAATAAAAAAATTGTCGTAAATTTTATCTATTTTTCCCTCTAAAAGTGAAAACACTCAACTTAGAATCTAAAAACTAAGCTAAGAATATTCCCGTTGCTCTCCTGAGTTCCACAATCAAAATTTGAGGCAAATCAGTTTAGGGGTTCTTGAGTTATGATCGGACAAACAAACAGAGATTACACCTTTATATATATAGATAACAAAAATTTAGTGTATAGGAGATAATATTTAAAAACCTCTTAAAAAATTTATTATGGGAATATGTGCCCCCCGCGCCCATTCTAATAAATGAAAAGGAAAGCAATATATTTATTGTTTACATCACATTTAATATAGCTAATGGTGGATTAGCAACAATATATAGGACCCATAAAATTATAGAATAGAAGATAGCAATGAGACTCAAAGTATGGTTTTAAATAGTTCGACTAATAGTAAGCACAGTTATTGTTTAGTGTTAACACAGACCCATTTTATTTGAACATTTTTGTTTCAGCTACTAGTAAAAGAACATAAAATACAGATTAAGTCGCGCCGCTTAAAAATGTTGTCCTTTATTTAACAATTTTAAGAGTCTCCTGTAAATATGCATATATAAATGTATATGTATTTAAAAGTTTGCAAATACAAAATTTACAAAGTTTAAAAATAAAAGTTCAAAAATGTTACCTTGTTTTTGCAACGGGGAAACCTGAAAGCATTCTACCCTGTGGAACCTTGAGGTTAGAATCCTGCCCACTTTGCATATATCTCCATCTATAGTATAGTATAGTATAGTATAGTATAGTATAGTATAGTATAGTATAGTATAGTATAGTATAGTATAGTATAGTATAGTATAGTATAGTATAGTATAGTATAGTATAGTATAGTATAGTATAGTATAGTATAGTATAGTATAGTATAGTATTAGACCAGGCTTGTACTAGGATCGAGTACTACTGCTATTAATACATGTGTACCCACAAAGGATGAGATGAAATATCAGAGGATTACACTTTTAATCAGGTTGCAAACATAAAGGGATTAGAAAATTTGAGTTTCTAGCAAAAAAATAAAGCAAAGTTTAAAATGACTTTTCACCATGATGTCAATTGTTGTTAAAATGTTGTCAGTTGTTGTACGATCGTAGTTATTGCAACTTAAGAAGTAGATTCAGAACGGTATAATGGTATAATGGTGACCAACAGCGAATAAATCCTACATAGGTCACAACAAAAAAAGTTTCCTCTGGAATAGGTATTCATAGTAACAAGGCCAGTTTCTGTTTTGAAACGGAAAACGATTTTTTAGTGTTTTTTTAAAGGAAAAAGTTTTTTTTTTTAGTTTATCGTTTTTAAACAAAAAGCTACCTTAGATCTGCACTTCCATCCATAGCTCTAGGTCTAGCCACCATATCTATACCCTGAGTAAAAACACAGCATGGATGCTCCGTTACAAATCTAAAAAAGAAAAAAATATGAAAATAACGATTTGAAGATAATTCATAATAAGTTTTTTTTATGATAATAAAATGTAATCGTTGTTTTTCAACTCTTTCACAGCCATTTGTTATATCTTACTAAAACAAAAACAAAAACAAATCGTTTATGGCACATTTCAAAATTGAAGAGAAACAACTGAGGGACATGCTATTGAAAATATATGTCGCGTGGAGTTTCAATTTATATATCTATTTCTATAGACTTTGCTTGTCTTTCTGTTTGTATATGTTTGTTTCCAACAAACGTGGAAAAGGCTGAACCGATCGGGCTCAAATTTTGTGTGGAACCTCCCATGACAGAGGAAAGGCTTAGGGATGCTCAAAATTACAAAAATGTGTGTCCAAAAGTTTTTGATTTTGAAAATGCGCGAACAAATATTATCCGCGAACTTTTTTGTTTGTTATTGTTCATATTGTACACAATTAAAAGTTTAAATATAATATGGGCGCGAAGCAACATCAAAGCCTAGTTTTAATAAATCTCATATTAATTGATATTTGTAAAAATAACATGAAAATATTCTTCTAACTGAAGTGTGATCTCAGTTGCCCTTTCTATTTTATTTCAAAAGAATTCTGTCGAACAAAATAGAAAACTGTCAATCAATTTTCTAGTAGAATTTGCACACTCTAACATTATGATTTAGCTGGAAAACGTCAAATTAAACATTTCTAAAATGTGAACAAATTAATTATATTTATTAAGATTACGGATCAGTTATATGTTTAAATTCTTTTGAAAAAATAGGCAAAAAAATTTTATGTTTTAAGTGAGTTTCTTATTCTTAATCATATAATTCTTTCATTGAACTTTGAAATAAATGAATAGTGATCTTGTAAAAGTTGGACTTTTCAATGAGTTTGGAATAGATGCAAAGCATTGAGCCATGAGTAAATCTCCTGGTTCAAAAGATGTTATCGGAAACAGATAAAACATTTATTTGGATGGGCAAGGAGATATAAGAATGGATGAATAGATGGATAGATTAAAAGATGAAGAGATAAATAGGTGAATAGATAAATAGATAAATAGATAAATAGATGAATAGATGAATAGATATATAGGTGAATAGATGAATAGATGAATAAATTAATGGATGAATAGGTGAATAGATGAATAGATGAATAGATGAAAAGATGAATAGATGAAAGGATGAATAGATGAATAGATGAATAGATGAATAGATGAAAGGATGAATAGATGAAAGGATGAAAGGATGAATAGATGAATAGATGAATAGATGAATAGATGAATAGATGAATAGATGAATAGATGAATAGATGAATAGATGAATAGATGAATAGATGAATAGATGTTAAGAACATTACAAAGCTCTTCTGTGAACTGATCTTCTTGGTTCATCTTCTCCTTCTCCTCCTTCTCCTCCTTCTCCTCTATCTCAAGAATATTTTCATAAATGTTTTCTGAATATGTGTTCAAGATATCTTCCTCTGGATTGGATGTAGTTGGTTGGTTTAATGAAGTAGATGGATTTGATTGATTGGATGGATTGGATGATGGTGACATTGTTGGCTGGTTTTCATTTTCTCTAATCCTGAGAAATTAATTTAACTGATATTAAAAAATGAAGAAAAAAAAATAGTTCCACGGTCTTTTTATTAATTTTTGTTTATCTAATCTTATAAAAACCAGCTGAAGTACCCGGTGTTGCCCATGTTTAACAATTTTATGAAAGTTAAATTATTTTTTTTAGCTTTTTTGTCACCCATGGTCCTTCAAAAATGCCTGCAAATTTGGTTTAGTCGTTTGGCTGCAACTTTAACGATCAAATATTTACAAGGTTACCAACAGTAGACAATTCAGAGACGATTGTACAGAATTTAACTGATGTTTGTTTCCTCATAATTATGATTCCCTGCAACTGTAACCTTTTTTTTTGACGGATCATTGATTAAGTCACAAAAATATTATATTCAAGAGTTTCAGGTCGTCTTTACAATTTCATCCTTTCTGGGTAACCCTGTATATGAGCGACGAGCTTACTTACAGTGGTAGGCGATTATATGAATATAATGAAGACAACTTTCGATATTACTTTGATTCATATAAAGCTTTTGAAAAGCATGGATACACAAAAAAACTGGAAACCATAAGAACCTGTCACTTAAAAAAGCTTCTTTTTAATTATTTGTAAACTTGTAAACTTCTAAAAAAGCTTGTTAACAATAAAATTTTAATTGAAAAGTCGTCTTCCTTTTATTAATATTATCGTCTACCACCATATATAAAATCTACTTAAAGAGACTGTGAATGTAATTTCAGGTGACTCGAGGGTTTAAGAGTTGCAAACTCGATGTACAACGACACGGTACCCTTTCAACAACAACGATGAGGAGATCATCTTTTATTACTTTTAAACTATGTCTGAGATTCATTTTTGCTTTTGTTGCAACAAACTGCAAGTGCCCTATAAAGAAAACAAGTTATGAAAATGATCAATATTCAGAGAAAAAAGCAGGGATAGCCTCATCATTTTTGCTTAGGCGAAAGTCTAAATGAATATATCATTGTGAATTGGGCATGCCATTCTAAAACAAAGAGTCATTTGAAATTACGTCAACAGTTTATTGAAATGTAAAAAGGAAGAGAAAATGTTTAAGAAATCTCTTATTCTATACCGCCCCCCCCCCCCACATTCTAGATTTTTAATCAAGTTTGTAAGTTAACTCAGATAAAAACATTAAACTTTTCAAAGAAAGAACTAACTTATACTTTAATCAAATAAGGATGTTTGGATCAACCAAATTCAAAATTTACAAAAACTTGGGTTTATTTTTTTTCAAGTTAAAATTTCCCTTGTGTAAGAACTCATATCAATGAAGTTATGTCCGCTGAAGCTTGCCACTCTAGGCACTGAAGTGGTTTCTATCTTAGCAATGTTAAAAGATGTCTGATATCTTTCAGTTCCAAATGATACTGGTTTCAGATACAAAGGATTGTTAGCGTTGCTTTCTTTATACCCTTGAGTTGTATCTTCAAACTGTTTGTTTTCTATATTACGTGAGCTAGGCGAAGTATCGACATTTTCACGAGATTCGTCATATTCTGGCCGTTTACGAGTTGGCTTAATTTTTCTCCTCGCAAAGAATCTGTTAGGTTCGCTTTGCGGATTTTCACGCAATTTCTCATTTGCAGTATTTTCCCCTGATTCATCGCTCTTAGTAGTTTCCAGATTTTCTTTATTTTCCAACCAAGGTTCAGACTCAAACCCGTTCCTGTTCCTTTCTTGTAGGCGGGGAACACTGGAACTCAAGGAACTTCTGAAGAATGGAAGAAATGTTGCTGGAACCGATGTTGTTGTTGTTGTTTTTGTTGTGGTAGTGGGTGTGGGTGTGGTGGAAGAAGTGGAAGGTTTGCCGGTATTTGCGGCTTTATTATGTTTTTTCATAAACATTTGCTGATATTGCTTTAATTTTAACAGGTTTAGTTTAGTAAGGTAGGTTGAATCTAATCCCTGTATCTGAGGAACCTAAAATTAAAAAGATTCTTTTGAGTTTTGTCTTGTTTTATCTCTTTTTTTTGGTTAAAAATAAAAAGGTTTGATTTAGAAATTGTAATTAAAATATTAAACCTTTAATTGTCCCACTTGGCCGGGCAGTTTCAAATTAATTGCAATCTTTTCCGTTGGCTTCTTAACTTCCTTCTTCTTTTCTTCTTTTTCTTCTTCTTCTTTCAGATTTTCTTCTTCTAAATTCGGATTTGTTTTCTCGAGGATTTTATTGTTACCGAAAATATCGTCGAAGGATGGCGGAGTGTATTGTCGGGGAGGAGGTATGGAATTACGGAACAGGGTTCCAAATCTGAAATATATGACAATGTTATTTTGTTTGTATTTATTAAAAAGGATTATATACTATACAATATTTGTCTGATAGAAAAGATTTAAAAGTTACTGATGTGAATCTGAGAAGTTGTTCTAAAAATGAAGGGTCACTTAGATTTATTCCATCTGTATTTCGATATTTATATCTGCAATATTATCACTAATTATAGAAATTGGCGTGAATATTTTTTTCTTCTTTTTTTTTCACTTAAGTGTTTAACAAGTTTCTAACAGAAAAATACATGATGGAAAAATCAAATCAAAAACTAAACAATTAGTTATATTCTTTTTTTTGTACTGAAATATAAAAGTTAATATTTTAGTAGTACGAATTGTTACCAGATAAACACAATTAGTCATGAATTGTTTCCAGATAAACACAATTAGTCATGAATTGTTTCCAGATAACACAATAGTCATGAATTGTTTCCAGATAAACACAATGGTCATGGCATCCTAATCGAAGCATATTTCGTATAATCGTGAGTTTATCCATCTGTCAGAGCTTGGCAACGTTCAGTTGAAGAAAAGATTTTTAAAAAGAAGAAGCCGAGTTAATTGAACTATAACTTCATTATTGGGCAATAACGAGCGGCCCTACAAGGAGTTATTTAGTTTTATTCTTGTTCATGCTCCTAGTTCTTATATGCACATGCAATATTTTTCAATTACCTGTAGTTAGCCATGGACTCAAAGTTTCTGGCTGAACCTTCCTCCAGTTGACCCCTGCCTGCCTCGAGCTGACCTGTACAACATGTTGGGTCCCAACTAACTGTACAGTCAACTTGGCGCGCCAAACAAGATAAAGTAAACCTTAAATATAAAGTATCTGAGTATTTTTCAAAATCTACGTACTCCCTTTATCTTTGCAACCATATTATGTAAACTATTGAATTTTCAAGTTTAGACTTTTTGGTCTAACAGAATTCATAGTCTGAAATGTCAAAGATCTAAAACATTGGGTTGCAAAGAATAAAAAGATTAACAATTTTGATTATAATACTATTTATGACAGTTAGTAGGGCTAAAATCGAAACATGTCAAATCGCGACCCTTCTTAAAATTTAAATGTAGGAACTAAGGCTCAAAGAGGTGGTTTTAAAATTGTGT